ATATACCGACGCACAAACCGCGTCAGCCATGATGGAAGCCTTCTCATGTATATTCCATACGGCAGACCAACGCCAATTGGGAATAGTCTTCGTGTATGGCGCAATGTTATTGTGCTGGCCAGTCTGACATGAACTGAAATCTGAATTGGTGTCAGAGTGGCCCAGAACCCCCCCACCCCCACCCAATGCGTCCTAACCGTTGTACCCCTGTGTGGGTCACTGTACTACCCCGCCCTGGGCCAATGCATCCTACCTGTTATATGCTGGCAACCATCAATGATTCCCCCACCTCCTGACCAGAGCAATGCTTCTCATTTCTTGTACCCTAGCCGGTGTAACTGTAACCCAGTCTTCCCAGAGAAAGGATCTGTTGTTGCTCCGCCCTTTTTATTTCCTATCTGTCACTGCTCTTCCTCTTTACTTCTCACCTTTCACTGCTGTGCCCCTTTATTTCCCAACTGTCACTGCTCCGCACCATTATTTCTCAAATGTTAATGTTCCACCCCTTTATTTCCCATCTGTCACTCCTTCACCCCCCTTTACTTCCCAGCTTTCACTGCTCCACACCATTATTTCCTGAATGTTATTGCTCCACCCTTTTATTTCCCATCTGCCACTCCTTCTCCCCTTTTATCGTCCTACTGTCACTGCTCCTCCCAGTTATTTCCTGAATGTTAATGCTCCACCCCTTTATTTCCCATCTGTCACTTATTCACCCCCCTTTACTTCCCAGCTTTCACTGCTCCACACCATTATTTCCCAAATGTTAATGCTCCACCCCTTTATTTCCCATCTGTCACTTATTCACCCCCCTTTACTTCCCAGCTTTCACTGCTCCACACCATTATTTCCCGAATGTTAATGCTCCACCCCTTTATTTCCCATCTGTTACTCCTCCCCTTTTATCGTCCTACTGTCACTGCTCCTCCCAGTTATTTCCCGAATGTTAATGCTCCACCCTTTTATTTTCCATCTGTCACTCCTTCGCCCTCCTTTACTTCCCAGCTATCACTGCTCCACCCCATTATTTCCCGAATGTTATTGCTCCACCCTTTTATTTTCCATCTGTCACTCCTTCACCCCCCTTTACTTCCCAGCTGTCACTGCTCCACACCATTATTTCCCGAATGTTAATGCTCCACCCCTTTATTTTCCATTTGTCACTCCTCCTCCCCTTTTATCTCCCTACTGTCACTGTTCCACCCAGTTATTTCTCAAATGTTAATGCTCCACCCCTTTATTTCCCATCTGTCACTTATTCACGCCCTTTACTTCCCAACTGTCACTGCTCCACCCCATTATTTCCTGAATGTTATTGCTCCACCCCTTTATTTTCCATTTGTCACTCCTCCTCCCCTTTTATCTCCCTACTGTCAGTGTTCCACCCAGTTATTTCTCAAATGTTAATGCTCCACCCCTTTATTTCCCATCTGGCACTCCTTCACCCCCATTTACTTCCCAGCTGTCACTGCTCACCCCCATTATTTCCAGAATGTTTTTTCTCCACCCCTTTACTTTCCATCTCTTATTCCTTCTCCCCTTTTATCGTCCTACTGTCACTGCTCCTCCCAGTAATGTTAATGCTCCACCCCTTTATTTCCCATCTGTCACTTCTTTGCCCTCTTGACTGAGTTCTTTGAGGTATCCCGAGTGTAAGTCATCTGGTCTTGGTGATTTATTTGTGTTAAGCATTTCAAGTCTTTTTCGGTCTCTGGCTCATGTTAGCCACTGTGATGTGCTACTAATGATACAGTCTTGATGACTATACCCCTCCTTTTCCTTAGTAAAAATGGAGGAGTAAAACATCTTGATAAAAATCTCAACTTCCCTCTGCTGTGAACATTTTAGGGAGAGCTGAAATCCAGATGTCCCCATATCCCCAATTTCTGACAATCATTTGATTTTTTTGAGAGAAGTCGCCATGAGGGGGTGGCAGAGCACCCAGGCCAGTGGGGGGCCCTCTACAATTGTTTTGCCCTAGCAGAGATGGCTTCATTACTCTGAGAAATCCCTCAAATCTCTCAGCCATTCCAGCCCGGCACATTGTGGGGATTACAGAGAAACAAAGAGACAGACGAAGGAAATTGAATCTGCCCCGGGGGAAAATGATCATTAATAGTTTTGTGTTTCCCGCCTGGCACAGATGTCTCTTCATTTATTAGACAATCGGATTCTTCATTCCAACAAAAACGCACTTTATGATTCACCAATATATTTCATTATACAATTCCTTGCTTACAATGTCGGCAGTTTGTATGATCATAACCTACGCTGAATGCGGATGTTAACTCCGTACTGTCTGCAAATATGATATTAACCCTGCAGCATGCACTAAGTGCGATGCGTCCATAATTCTCCCACGAGCAGAACCTGAAAGCTCTATCATTGTAGAGGGATCGGGGGGTCTTTTTAGCTTTGTAGCTTTCTGCCTTCTGTACTTTGTAAAGGAATCGGGGTGTCTTTGTGGCTCTCCACCCTCTGCATTTTGTAAAGGAATTGGGGTGTCTTTGTGACTCTCCACCCTCTGCATTTTGTAAAGGAATCGGGGTGTCTTTGTGGCTCTCCACCTTCTGCACTTTGTAGAGGGATCGGGTGTCTTTGTGGCTCTCCACCTTCTGTACTTTGTAGAGGGATCGGGGTGTCTTTGTGGCTCTCCATCTTCTGCACTTTGTAGAGGGATCGGGGTGTCTTTGTGGCTCTCCACCTTCTGTACTTTGTAGAGGGATCGGGGTGTCTTTGTGGCTCTCCACCTTCTGTACTTTGTAGAGGGATCGGGGGGGACTTTGTGGCTCTCCACCTTCTGTACTTTGTAGAGGGATCGGGGGGCTTTGTGGCTCTCCATCTTCTGCACTTTGTAGAGGGATCGGGGTGCTTTGTGGCTCTCCATCTTCTGCACTTTGTAGAGGATCGGGGTGTCTTTGTGGCTCTCCACCTTCTGCATTTTGTAGAGGGATTAGGGTATCGTTGTGGCTGTCCACCTTCTGTACTTTGTAGAGGGATTGGGTAGGTTTTGTGGCTCTCCACCCTCTGTACTTTGTAGAGGGATCGGGGTGTCTTTGTGGCTCTCCACCTTCTGCATTTTGTAGAGGGGTCGGTCTTTGTAGCTCTCCACCTTCTGCATTTTGTAAAGGGTCGGGGTATCTTTGTGGCTGTCCACCTTCTGCACTTTGTAGAGGTGTTCGGGCGTCTTTGTGGCTCTCAGCCTTCTGCAGTTTGTAGAGGAATTGGAGTGTCTGTGACTCTTCACCTTCTGCTCTTTGTAGAGAGGTCTGGGTGTGTTTGTGGCTGTCCACCTTCTGCACTTTGTAGAGGGATCGGGATGTCTTTGTGGCTCACCACCTTCTGCACTTTGTAGAGGGATCGGGATGTCTCTGTGGCTCTTCACCTTCTGCGCTTTGTAGAGGGGTCGAGGATGTCTTTGTGGTTCTCCACCCTCTGAACTTTGTAGAGGGGTCAGGGTGTCTTTGTGGTTCTCCACCCTCTGAACTTTGTAGAGGGGTCAGGGTGTCTTTGTGGTTCTCCACCTTCTGAACTTTGTAGAGGGGTCAGGGTGTCTTTGTGGTTCTCCACCTTCTGCACTTTGCAGAGAGATCGGGGTGTCTTTGTGGCTCTCCACCATCTTCACTTTGTAGAGGGTTGGGGTGTCTTTGTGGCTGTGCACCTTCTACACTTTATAAAGGAGTTTGGGTGTCTTTGTGGCTTTCCACCTTTTGCACCTTGTTAGAGGGATTGGGGTGTCTGTGCCTCTCCACTTTCTGCACTTTGTAGACGGGTTGGGGCATCTTTGTGGTGTAGTGTTGCGGTGTCTTTGTGGCTCTCCACCTTCTGCACTTTGTAAAGAAATTGGGGTGTGTGTGGCTCTCCACCTTCTGCTCTTTGTAGAGGGATTGGGATGTCTTTGTGGCTCTCCTCCTTCTGCACTTTGTAGAGGGATCGGGGTGTCTTTGTGGCTCGCCTCCTTCTGCACTTTGTAGAGGGATCGGGGTGTCTTTGTGGCTCGCCTCCTTCTTTACTTTGTAGAGGGATCGGGGTGTCTTTCTGGCTGTCCACCTTTTGAATTTTGTAGAGGGATCGGGGTGTCTTTGTGGCTGTCCACCTTCTGCATTTTGTAGAGGTGTTGGGGTGTCTTTTTGGCTCTCACCTTCTGCACTTTGTAGCGGGGTCTGGGTGTCTTTGTGGCTTTTCACCTTCTGCATTTTGTGGAGGGTTGGGAGGTCTTTGTGGCTTTCCACCTTCTGCTTTTTTGTAGAGGGGTCTGGGTGTCTGTGGCTTTCCACCTTCTGCTCTTTGTAGCGGGGGTCTGGGTGTCTTTGTGGCTTTTCACCTTCTGCACTTTGTGGAGGGTTGGGAGGTCTTTGTGGCTCTCCACCTTCTGCTCTTTTGTAGAGGGGTCTGGGTGTCTGTGGCTTTCCACCTTCTGCACTTTGTAGAGGGTTGGGGTGTCTTTGTGGCTCTGCACCTTCTGCACCTATTAGAGGGGTCGGGGTATCTTTGTGGCTGTCCACCTTCTGCACTTTGTACAGATATTGGGGTGTCTGTGGCTCTCCACCTTCTTCTCTTTGTTCAGGGGCCTGTATGTCTTTGTGGCTCTCCTTCTTCTGCGCTTTGTAGAGGATTTGGGGTGTCTTTGTGGCTCTCCACCTTCTGCACTTTGTAGGGGGGTCTGGGTGTTCCTTGCCCCCTGCACTCTGTAGAGGATTTGGGGTGTTTTTATGAACATACAATACACAATTCTGTTTCATGCTGTACGCAGAGCTCAGCTGGCTGCACTTAGCTTTGATTCAGCCTCTTTGTCTCTGTAGAGCTGCATTATGAGAAGATGCAGAGCAGATGAAAGGACATCTAACACTTCTCCACGCTGACACCAGAATGCTGTGTTGAAATATCAGAGCTCAGCTTGGACCTTCCTGAGATGTTCACCCAGTTCTGACCCTGGAGGAAAAAACCTCCATAAAAATTCTGAAACTGACTTATGGCCAACAGAGTTCATGGTAACTATGAGCAGGGGCGGACTGACCGTTTGGAAACTCGGGCACTGCCCGAGGGCCTGGGCCAGTAGGAGGCCCCATGAGATGCCCCTGGTACCTTTTTTTTTTCATAGGCTTTTTTGAGTTTGGGCAAGGACACAGGGCCCCATGATCCCCTATTGCCCGGGGGCCCCGTGAGTTTTTAGTCCTCCCCTGACTATGACATATGAGGGAGCAACAAACTACATCTTGCCTATAATATGGGGACAGAGGTATGAGGGTCCTACTTCTTACAGTCTTCTTGTAATAGGTAATAGAGGGCAGAAAGTAAGAGGGTCCTGAATATTACATCTAATAGAGAACAGAAAGTATGAGGGCCCTGATCATTACGTCATCTAATAGAGGACAGGAGGTATGAAGGTCCTGATCATTACGTCATCTGATAGAGGACAGGAGGTATGAGGATCCTCATCATTACATCTAATAGAGGACAGGAGGTATGAGGGTCCCGATCATTACGTCATCTAATAGAGGACAGGAGGTATGAAGGTCCTGATCATTACGTCATCTAATAGAGGACAGGAGGTATGAAGGTCCTGATCATTACGTCATCTAATAGAGGACAGGAGGTATGAAGGTCCTGATCATTACATCATCTGATAGAGGACAGGAGGTATGAAGGTCCTGATCATTACTTCATCTGATAGAGGACAGGAGGTATGAAGGTCCTCGTCATTAATCTAATATAGGACAGGAGGTATGAGGGTCCCGATCATTACATCTAATAGAGGACAGGAGGTATGAGGGTCCCGATCATTACATCTAATAGAGGACAGGAGGTATGAGGGTCCTGATCATTACATCTAATAGAGGACAGGAGGTATGAGGGTCCCGATCATTACATCTAATAGAGGACAGGAGGTATGAGGGTCCCGATCATTACATCTAATAGAGGACAGGAGGTATGAGGGTCCTGATCATTTACATCTAATAGAGGACAGGAGGTATGAGGGTCCCGATCATTACATCTAATAGAGGACAGGAGGTATGAGGGTCCCGATCATTACATCTAATAGAGGACAGGAGGTATGAGGGTCCTCGTCATTAAATGTAATAGAGGACAGGAGGTATGAGGGTCCCGATCATTACATCTGATAGAGGACAGGAGCTATGAGGGTCCTGATCATTACATCTAATAGAGGACAGGAGGTATGAGTTTCCCGATCATTACATCTAATAGAGGACAGGAGGTATGAGGGTCCTGATCATTACATCTAATAGAGGACAGGAGGTATGAGGGTCCTGATCATTACATCTAATAGAGGACAGGAGGTATGAGGGTCCCGATCATTACATCTGATAGAGGACAGGAGGTATGAGGGTCCTCGTCATTAAATCTAATAGAGGACAGGAGGTATGAGGGTCACGATCATTAAATCTAATAGAGGACAGGAGGTATGAGGGTCCCGATCATTACATCTGATAGAGGACAGGAGGTATGAGGGTCCTCGTCATTAAATCTAATAGAGGACAGGAGGTATGAGGGTCCCGATCATTAAATCTAATAGAGGACAGGAGGTATGAGGGTCCCGATCATTACATCTGATAGAGGACGGGACAGGAGGTATGAGGGTCCTCGTCATTAAATCTAATAGAGGACAGGAGATATGAGGGTCCTCCTCCTTAGCAGTGACCCCCCTCGTCTTGTGTTTCCCCCTCTCCGCTCTCTCCCTCCTCAGCACTTTGCACTGATCTGGTATCACTTCATCCTCTAATTTATTCATCTCTAATGAAAAACGTGTCTTTTGCAGACTATTTTTTCCGGCACATTCTCGCTGCGTTCCTAACGGGGCTTTTCCCAGATCGGGGGGTTATGATAATGTGATATTCGATGTGAGCGGGTTTTTGGGGTCTTTGTGAGCGGGTTTTGGGGGTCTTTGTGGGTGGGTTTTGGGGTGTCTTTGTGTACACAGATCGATCTTCAGGCAGGCCGAGGGGCTATAGAAACGATATTCACATTTCTTATTTATTCCACCGAACTCATCTGCATTGTTCCTGGAATTAGCAGAGGCTGTTTGGCTCACACTCCATATTTACAGTTGGGGGGGGGGGGGTCCCGGTGGTGTGTTGGGGGCTGGGTGGATGTTTCATTCTTCGCCCCCATATTTGATCAGAATACCTATATTAACCACTTCCCGCCCACTCACGGCATATTTACCGCAAGCTGGCAGCAGCCGCAGGCTCAGCAACATAGACGGACATCGCCTCCTGCTTCTAGGTTTCAGGCGCACGTTTGTGCGCTTCCTGATGACCTGTGCTGTGATTGGACACAGCACGAGGTTGTCAGCAGGTTTAAGCCAATGATTTTGGCTGTATATCTGCTGATTGGCTGTGGCCAATCACAGTACAGAGCCCTGTGTTTACAAAAACACAGAACAGAGATCTGGCTGTTTCTTCTCCCTGCAATCTGAGCTCAGGGGGAAAAAGCAGCCAGATCTGTGAGTAAAAGCAGCGCACATTACACACTTTACATTCATTAGGCACACAGTTAACCCCTTGCTTGCCCCTTGTCAATAGTCAGTGTCCCTCCCAGCGAGCGTCTGTTAGCACCAGATTGCCCGCCACACTAGCAACTCCCACTATAAGTCGCTGATCACCTTCATTACTAATATAGCGTGCATAGCTACCTAAATTCCAGTGAATATCCCATAGTTTGTAGACGCTATAACTTTCACACAAACCAATCAATATACACTTTTTGGGATTTATTTGTACCACAGACATGTAGCATACGGGGCGGACTGACCATTCGAGCTCACGGGCACCGCCTGAGGGCCTGGGGTCAGTAGGGGGCCCCATGAGATTCCCTTGTTACCTTTCATAGGCTTTTTTGGGGTGTGGTTTGAGTTTGGGCAAGGACACCGGGGCTCCACGATCCCCTATTGCCCGGGGGCCCCATGAGTTGTCAGTCCGCCCCTGGTAGCATAATATATTTTGGCCTAAATTTAGGATGAAATTTGATTTTATTGGATATGTTTTATAACACAAAGTAGAAAATATTGTTTATTTTTCAAAATGTTCAGTCTTTTTTTGTTTGTAAAAAAAAACAGTGGTGATCAAATACCACCAAAAGAAAGCTCTATTAGTGTGAAAAAAATGATATAAATTTCATTTGAGTATAGGGTTGCAGGACCGAGCAATTGCCAGTGAAAGTAGCGCAGTGCTGAATAGCAAATAAATTTAAAAAAGCCCTGGTCATGAAGGAGGTAAAACCTTCCAGAGGTCAAGTGGTTGAATAAGCCCCTGTATAGGTCTGCGAGGGGAATGTAACTTCCCAGCTCCAGGTTGGGGATGATTATCCAGAATTTATGTCAGTTTTACTGGACTGCGTTGAGTGGCAAAGCGATATATAATCCGGTGAGCGTGTTGTAGTCAGTGGAAGGAGAAATAGTGCCCCATCATTGGTATCAGTGGGAGGAATAGTGCCCCATCATTGGTGTCAGTGGGAGGAATAGTGCCCCATCATTGGTATCAGTGGGAGGAATAGTGCCCCATCATTGGTGTCAGTGGGAGGAATAGTGCCCCATCATTGGTATCAGTGGGAGGAATAGTGTCCCATCATTGGTGTCAGTGGGAGGAATAGTGTCCCATCATTGGTGTCAGTGGGAGGAATAGTGTCCCATCATTGGTATCAGTGGGAGGAATAGTGCCCCATCATTGGTGTCGGTGGGAAGAATAGTGCCCCATCATTGGTATCAGTGGGGAGAATAGTGCCCCATCATTGGTGTCAGTGGGAGGAATAGTGCCCCTCATCATTGGTATCAGTGGGAGGAATAGTGCCCCATCATTGGTGTCAGTGGGAGGAATAGCGCCCCATCATTGGTGTCAGTGGGAGGAATAGTGTCCCATCATTGGTGTCAGTGGGAGGAATAGTGTCCCTATCTTTGGTATCAGTGGGAGGAATAGTGCCCCATCATTGGTGTCAGTGGGAGGAATAGTGCCCCATCATTGGTGTCAGTGGGAGGAATAGCACCCCATCATTGGTATCAGGGGGAGGAATAGTGCCCCATCATTGGTGTCAGTGGGAGGAATAGTGTACCATCATTGGTATCAGTGGGGAGGAATAGTGCCCCATCATTGGTGTCAGTGGGAGGAATAGTGCCCCATCATTGTGTCAGTGGGAGGAATAGTGCCCCATCATTGGTATCAGGGGGAGGAATAATGTCCCCATCATTGGTGTCAGTGGGAGGAATAGTGCCCCATCATTGTTTGTCAGTGGGAGGAATAGTGCCCCATCATTGGTATCAGTGGGAGGAATAGTGCCCCATCATTGGTGTCAGAATAGTTGGGAGGAATAGTGTCCCCATCTTTGGTGTCAGTGGGAGGAATAGTGCCCCATCATTGGTGTGAAAAAATAGTACCTAAGGAATAGTGTCCCATCATTGGTGTCAGTGGGAGGAATAGTGCCCCATCATTGGTGTCAGTGGGAGGAATAGTGTCCCATCATTGGTGTCAGTGGGAGGAATAGTGCCCCATCATTGGTGTCAGGGGGAGGAATAATAGCCCCATCATTGGTGTCGGGGAGGAATAGTGCCCCATCATTGGTGTCAGTGGGAGGAATATAGCCCCATCATTGGTGTCGGGGAGGAATAGCGCCCCATCATTGGTGTCAGTGGGAGGAATAGCGCCCCATCATTGGTGTCAGTGGGAGGAATAGTGCCCCATCATTGGTGTCAGTGGGAGGAAGAGTGCCCCTATCATTGGTCAGTGGGAGGAATAGTGCCCCATCACTGGTATCAGTGGGAGGAAATAGTGCCCCATCATTGGTATCAGTGGGAGGAATAGTGCCCCATCATTGGTATCAGTGGGAGGAATAGTACTTCCCATCATTGGTGTCAGTGGGAGGAATAGTGCCCCATCATTGGTGTCAGTGGGAGGAATAGTGCCCATCATTGATATCAGTGGGAGGAATAGTGCTCCGTTGGTGATCATGGGGGATGGGAATAATGTCCCATCATTGGTGTCAGTGGGAGGAATAGTGCCCCATCATTGGTGTCAGTGGGAGGAATAGTTCCCCATCATTGGTATCAGTGGGAGGAATAGTGCCCCATCATTGGTGTCAAGTGGGAGGAATAGTTCCCCATCATTGGTGTCAGTGGGGAGGAATAGTGCACCATCATTGGTGTCAGTGGGAGGAATAGTGTCCCATCATTGGTGTCAGTGGGAGGAATAGTGTCCCATCATTGGTGTCAGTGGGAGGAATAGTGTCCCATCATTGGTGTCAGTGGGAGGAATAGTGTCCCATCATTGGTGTCAGGAAACGTCTTTTTCTTGGGGGAATAGCGCCCCATCATTGGTGTCAGGGGGAGGAATAGCGTCCCATCATTGGTGTCAGTGGGAGGAATAGCGTCCCATCATTGGTGTCAGTGGGAGGAATAGCGTCCCCATCATTGGTGTCAGTAGGGGCAGGAATAGCGCCCCATCATTGGTGTCAGTGGGAGGAATAGCCCCCATCATATGGTGTCAGTGGGAGGAAGAGTGCCCTATCATTGGTATCAGTGGGAGGAACAGTGCCCCATCACTGGTATCAGTGGGAGGAATAGTGCCCCATCATTGGTATCAGTGGGAGGAATAGTGCCCCATCATTGGTATCAGTGGGAGGAATAGTGCTCCCATCATTGGTGTCAGTGGGAGGAAGAGTGCCCTATCATTGGTATCAGTGGGAGGAATAGTCCCCATCATTGTTGTCGGGGGGGGGGGGTACAATAGTGTCCCATCATTAGTGAGACGAGATCCCGGTATCAGTGGGAGGAATAGTGCCCCATCATTGGTGTCAGTGGGAGGAATAGCACCCCATCATTGTTGTCAGGGGGGGGGACAATAGTGGTCCCATCATTGGTATTAGTTGGAAAAATAGTACCTAATTGTTACTATAATTGTACAGATAATAGTGCCCCGTCATAGGGTGTCCCAGTACAGATAGGAATAGTGCCCCATCATTGGTGTCAGATAGGAGGAGGAATAGTGCCCCATCATTGGTGTCAGATGGGAGAAGAGTGCCCCATCATTGGACAGATCAGTGATAGGAATAGTCCCCATCATTGACAGTGTCAGTGGGAGGAATAGTGCCCCATTACATTGGTGTCAGTGGAAGGAATAATTTCCCATCATTGGTGTCAGTGGGAGGAATAGTCCCCATCATTGGTGTCGGGGAGGGAATAGTGCCCCATCATTGAGTGTCGGGTAGGAATAGTGACCCCATCATTGGTATTAGTTGGAGGAGACAGTCCCGTAATTGTTTATATAATTGGGAGGAATTGTGCCCCATCATTGGTGTGTCAGTGGAAGGAAAAATGCCCCATACATTGGTGTCAGTGGCAGGAACAGATGCCTCGTTCTTGTTATGAGTAGGAGAATACTACCCCGAGGGCTGAATAGAGACAAGCAAATCCCACAGATAGCGAGCCCAGGGCCGTACAGTTTGGACAGACCACTGTGCTAGATGGACACTCAGCTTTGATGTACAGATAGCGACAGATCGGTGCTCATACTTCGTCATTCATCTAAAGATTATGGGGGATGATGGAAAATGTCTTCATGTCTCATTAGTCCCCATACACCCGTCAATCCTGATCCTCCTGCAACTGCCAGGGTTCGTCGGTTGATAGATGGGGGATGGATTAATTCCCTACAATTCTACATATTTTCCCTCTAAACACTTTTTTAATGTAAATGTAAAATGATTTCCTGGTACGTATACAGATGGCTGACGGTCCCTATTGGAGGGGCAGTGTGTGGGGGGTGGGGGGGCAGTTCTGGACCCCCAAGAGCGGCAGGGCCCCCTCTCATCATACCAGTTAGAGAAGAAGATCCCGTAAGCAAAATATTTCTGGAGTTGTCAGAACGTCTTTATCTTGGAACAGTCAAGGTGGTGAGTGGGCAGGACTGACACACACAGATCCGATAACAAATACCCGGCTCCCCCGCAGATCTGACAATATAACCCTTTCATGGCAGGAACAGCCGGCGCGGCATAGGAGAGAGACTGGGAAGGGAACGTCGCGTCCTGCACAGGATGCCAATTATATTCCGCCACATTGCCGCAGACCGTCACACGCACAGGATAACCCCGCCATGTGCATGGGGAGAGCGGGAAACCTTGGAACCCCGAGGGACCACAGCCCCCAAAATCCGTCCCTTTATTCAACTAACTTAGGGGACTGTAGGTAAAGGGTGGATCTGATACAGATAGAAGACAGATCCCGTACAGATAGAAGAGACAGATCCCGTACAGATAGGAGACAGATCCCGTACAGATAGAAGACAGATCCCGTACAGATAGGAGACAGATCCCGTACAGATAGGAGACAGATCCCGTACAGATAGGAGGCAGATTCCGTACAGATAGGAGACAGATCCCGTACAGATAGGAGACAGATCCCGTACAGATAGGAGACAGATCCGTACAGATAGGAGACAGATCCAATACAGATAGGAGACAGATTCCGTACAGATAGAAGACAGATCCCGTACAGATAGGAGACAGATCCCGGTACAGATAGGAGACAGATCCAGTACAGATAGGAGACAGATCCCGTACAGATAGAAGACAGATCCGTACAGATAGGAGACAGATCCCGTACAGATAGGAGACAGATCCCATACAGATAGGAGACAGATCCCTTACAGATAGGAGACAGATCCCTTACAGATAGGAGACAGATCCCGTACAGATAGGAGACAGATCCCGTACAGATAGGACAGATCCCGTACAGATAGGAGACAGATCCCGTACAGATATAAGATGGATATATTACTGATCCGGTACAGATATAAGATGGATATATTACTGATCCGGTACAGATATAAGATGGATATATTACTGATCCGGTACAGATATAAGATGGATATATTGCTGATCCGGTACAGATATAACATGGATATATTACTGATCCGGTA